ACAAGTACATTTCAGGTCTCTGGGGGGGCGTCCTCGCCGTGATTGGTTGCGGCTCGGAGAAAATTGCCAGTTACTGTTTACGGACTCGTTTGGCAAGTGCACCACATCCAAGAGGTATCCCGAACCAGACGCATCTTGCCTGGTTCACATCGTTTATAAAACATGTGTCCATGAAGCGGTTTCGAGCGGATAGTGGCGGGAGGTGTACATGCAGCATTTGACGTCAAGCGGTTCGGACTTTTCGCGGCTTGGGAGTATTCGGGATTGAAGCGAGCTTGGATTCTTTGCCCGCCCCCCCCTTTGGGAGTTCTCCTGTAGGTTCCCAAGACAGCCTAAAGGGACTCTTGCAAGGGCACACCAAGACGGCCCAAGATAGCCTGCTTACTTTTCCAGGGATGTCCCCAAAGTGCTTCTTCGTTCGGTCCAAGAGGCTCCCAAGGTTTCCAGGAAGGCCCAACAATTGTCTAAGCACCCCGCCGAGTCACCCAAGCTGGACCGAGAGGACCCTCAGAGACTGCAGGGTTCTCCCTTGACGCTTCCATGAGGATCGAATTGCTTTGCCATGCCTTGTCCCTTGCCTTGTTCCGCTTCGTTTTTCCTCTCCTTCTCTCTTTTGCCTCTTGCCACTTTCCTTTCCCTTTGTGCGCCGTCAGAATTTGTCGATGTCCACTGCCGAGGGGTCATGTCGCCGCTTCGTCTGCTGTCCCTTTCGGATAAAGCGAACGCTGCAAGCGAACGGTGCTTCCCGCTCGCTAAGAACTCGGCCCCGACCCCGCCTTCGTAAACCGACTCGGCCTGCTCATGCTCCAGGTCCATCTCTCCCTCCACCCCTGCCCGCACCTTGGGCGTGCCCGAGGTGGCCGTGGCGGACGTCGAGGAGGGCGAGTCCATCATCGAGGTTCCGCTGGGCGCAACGATTGAGCTCTCGGGCCCCTCGGCAGATCCTCGGGATCCGGGCATCCCGGCGATGGCATTGCTGCGCAGACACCGCGAGGGTGGAGGCGACGCGGCGCTGTACCACGCCCTGGTCCCCTCGCCGGGGGCCCCAGACCTGGCCACCATGCCAGACTTCTTCACCGACGAGGAGCCAGGGTGGATGGCTCGTGTGACCACACCGCCCCTTTCCTCCGCCGCCCTCGCTCACTTCCCCTTCCCTCTGGGGGGGGGGAGCGGGGGGTGGAGTGCGGCAGGCTGTGGCGTAGGATTTTCGCTTCACCGAGGAGCTGGAGATGACCCAGTGTCCGCCGGTCATCTTGAAGACGCGGGCGCGGCAGCAGCTCTGCGCCAGCAAGGCTGCGGAGGCGGGCGAGGCCCAGGGCAGCCCATGGGACTGTGACGTTTGCGCCCCCCCTCGGGGTCGATGGGGGCACGCGGGGGAAGATGAGCAGGAGGATGAGGGGACGAGATCGAATATGATCATGCCCGCTCCTGTCGTCCTAGCAGCCCTGACAGGCAGTGGAGGACGTGCAGTGGGCGCTGTGCACTGTGGCGCAGCGGTCGTTCACGGTGCTCAACCCCATCAGTGGCCTGACGCGTCTTCTGTTACCCGGTATCGACCTTTTCAACCACGACGCCGATTCGCCGCACAAGTTCCGAGTGAAGTGGCAATTGGCCGACGGTTTCGATGGGACATTCAAGATCGTGGCCGGCGCCGCCATCAAGAAGGGTGACGAGATCCGCATTTGCTACGGTGGCAGCCCTTACAAAGCCGATGGCTGTGGTGGAGATTGCGTGGGCGACTTTGCCCTCACCAACGAGGCGTTCTTGCAGCGGTACGGTTTCGTGGACAAGTCCATAGGCACCACCATGGTCGATGGCAAGTGGCTCGTGTCCGAGGATGCTGCGGCCGTGAGGGAGGCATTGGCCCAGACTACCGTCGAGGCCGATGAGGCTCTGGCTCAGGAGGGCGTTTCGGTCGCTGCGCGGACCGCGCTAGAGTTCCGCGCGCACCTGAAGAGGGCGTTGGCCGCCCAACGGGCGGCAGATGCGGCCCAGAGAGACCCCCGGGCGGTAGCGAAGACGCCTGCGGGGATTGCGATTGCGTGATTTTTGACGCGGCAGCGACGGCGAGAGCCATTTCCCCTGTACCTTACTGCCCGCTTGCCAAGAAAGCCAGCGGGTGGGGAAGGCAGGCATCGAGTTGGGGTACATGCCCTTGTCGACAAGGGGAAGGAAGGGCGACGCTCTCGCCGAGCGCCATTTGCTCCTCCCTCCCCGCATGCGAAAACCGATCGGCCCATCGGCAAGATCGGGTGGCATCAGGCCCGTCCGTCCTCCCCTCCCTGCTCCCAACCGCCCTCGCCCCGAGGAACCCGCGTGCGGCGAGTGCGTGGATGGCTCGTACTCCTCCGGTGGCAGTTGCCACGAGTGCAGGACCATGGACCTTTGGGCCCCATGGGAGGAGGCCGAGGCCGAAGAGGAGGAGGAGGAGGAGAAGGAAGAGGAGGTCGAGGAGGAGGAGGAGGAGCTCGAAGAGCGGGAGGAGCAGCACCAGGAGGATGTACTCCCGTTTGCTGTGAACGGAGACGTTGGTACCTGTGTGGAGAGACATGGACCTGGGACGAGAGCCAGTACATCGCAGATAGCAACCGTCGGCAGTACTGATGTACCGGACTCCGCGGAATGCAGAATCTACTTAGGCCAGGAGGCAGAGGGCGAGGAGAATGAAGGAGGAGAAAGTATTCCCCACGGCAGACCATCTATACGAGTGCCTCACCCAGTTCTGCGCCATAGCCTGCGCGGTGCAAAGAGTATTCGTGGGGCAAGCTTTCGCTTCTTGCTGATGTCGTAATGTCTACCGCGTAATCAATCATAAAACAAGACCGCGCCTACGTCGTTTCGCCAGTCCCCTGGACCACTACGAATACTGGCCACGAGGCCGTTCAGGAAGAAGCTCACCTTGCTGATGATACGTCCCCCGCCGAAAGTGCGCGCGCAGACATGTGGTATCGAAAAGACAACGTGCTTCCGACATTGTTGGAATAGGTATGTCTTGAGTTTGTTTGCTTTTGTTAATTGATTTTGACATGAGCGCGAGGCGGCGCGTGCACGGGTTCTGCACAGTACACGCTTTAGATTAATGTTTGCACAATTCATCAAGGGATGACGAGGTGGGGAGGGGGTCGATGATGGTTGTCCAGGGACGGTCTAATCTATTTTTTCGGATGAGTGGTCGAAGAGGAAGAGGAGGAGGAGAAAGAGGAAGAGGAGGAGGACAGACGTGGGGCAGTCCTGGCGATCTCGCTTTTTGCGTCACCATGGCTGTTCCGAGGGCCGCAGGATCATTCTTTCGTGTCGGTCAGGTCAGCAACGATGTTCTACGCCACTGGCAGTGGTAAACAATCAAGATCCCGTGGTACAGTCGGATTCAGTGTCGACAAGACGCTTTTTTGCCCTTTGGTGTTTCGCTTTGTCAGCACTGCGTGAGACGCTTTTGTGACCTTCGGTTTTACAGAAGCTAGTCAGCTTCTTACTGTGAGTGCCTGCTTTATCATGCTGCGGGTGCCCTTTCGAAGCATCAGCACGAGTCTTTTTTTTCATTGTCCATACTTGACTACAGAGCTACATGATTCTACAACGGTTCAGTCGAAGCGATTGCCCTGTGGAGGTCGCGCGGATGCCTGCACATCCATGTCAATCTCCAGTCGACGTAATTATCATGACCCGAAGCTGCGTCTCTCCGATTGCACGAATTTGCAAAGCATTTGGGGGAGCCTCCGGCAAAGAGATTCCCTGGGACCCCGAGATTTGCCCCCTGCGTCCTTCTTGCGCTGCCGCTCTTGTCCCAAACGCCTCCCAGTCCATGTGAGGCCTCCGCGCGCGAGGCTCGCGCCGGCTGCCGCGCCGGCTGCCGCGCCGGCTGCCGCGCGGGCTGCCGCGCGGCGCCGCGCCTCTGCGCAGTGGCCGCGCGCTCTCCACGCCGCTGCCCTGGCAGGGCCCACTTTGATCCGATCGATCGGATGCGATCTCGATGCCCCGCCGATGCGATGCGGCCCGGCGCTCACACGGCTGTGTTGTGCATCCTTGTGTAGCCGATCCGATTCGATTTCGACTCCATGCCGATGCGGCTCGATTCGACGCGCAAAATCCGATTCGATACGATTTCCTGGTTCGATGCTGACCGATCTTGCCCATTGAGATGCTCTTCCCCTGTCTGTTCACGCGTCTAGTCATTCCGTGACGCCTCGCGTCGTGGCACATGGTCTAGAGATCCTCGCTAGCCCATCCAGCGACGATGCTCAGGCGAATTGATTTGACCAGGGAAGCGTGGGCGCACGCAGTGGAACAAATCAGGAGGGGGCAGCTGTCAAACCGAAGATCGGGATCAGCCTGAGCAGGCTCAGACGTCAACCGTGGGTACCTTCGCGGATCTGTCGATATAGGAGCCTCTTGGCAGCTTACTTGGACCAGCTAGGGGCCCTCTTGGGTCCATGTTGGGGGCCTTTGGGGTTCTCTCCCGGGCTTTCTTGGGGCCCTCAATCGATATATCTAACGATCTTGACAACGCTATATCGATCATCCTTACCTATCGGTATCATTTTATAGCCGGTCTCACAATCAGTTAGTCCATCTGTGGACCTCGCTCTCGAGAGCAATCTTCAAGTTCGACGACCATCCCACTGGGGCCATCTTTGGTTCCGAATCCCGCCGGAAACCGACAAGGAGAAAGATTCAACGCCCCTGCTTCATTCATGATGTGTTGCCCTCTTGGGGCATCCTTGTAGGGCCCGGCGGCCTCCTCGAAACCATCTTGAGGTTTTCTTCGGGCTTGTTGGGGCCGTGCTGGAACTCATCTCGGGCCAAGTGGGATCGTTTGCGCTTTTCTGGAGGCAATCTCCGTCTATCGGGCCATCTTGCAATCAGCTCGGGCCATCTCGGACGCACAAACGACCCAGGACCTCCCAGGTCCAGATCCCCAGAGAGGGTTAAGGGGATGAATGGGGGTGTGTTTGGAAGGCCGATTTGTGAAACTACTTACGCCTGGAGGGCCGATGGGATAGGTGTCCGATGCTAGGTTCTCGGTCCAAGCGAGGCATGAGCCAGATTGCCCCAGCCGAGCGGGGCTGTGACAACGAGGCCGCGGGGGCTTCGCGTCTCTGCCCTGGGGCCCACCTCAGAGCTCGCTGTACTTATCCAGGCGTGCCACATGAGCAGGCCTTGGTCCATCGGTCTGCAATGCCAGGCGGTGACCCCAGTCATGCGACCCTGGCGCAGCATACCAGAAACGGCGTGCGGCAGTTTGGGGCAACTCTCTTGGCCTCTGCCTTCAGCGGCACCGATTTGGCGATTGAGAAGGAAAGGCATGGGGAGGCTTCCAGGATGATAGGAGAAAATGATTGGTGCCAGCACTTTCAGCTTTCCCTGTCCAGGTCCGTTTCAATCCGATGTCAAGCGTCCTTGTCGTCTCGGGTCCGCTCCAGCCCTGGGCTACTTTCGGATCCTGGCGCCTTCCACTCTCCCCAGCCTGATCATAACCGGCGGAGTCATGTGCTTCATTTCACCTCTTCTGTCCGCACGGGCATGGTGAGCGAATGAAGTGGTTGGATTTGGTTCAATGGCTTGGTAGTTGCATTCGTGTTTATCGCCAGGCCAGTCACAGTTTATTCCATGTCTCGCGCTCGCTTCCTTGAGCGGACTCCGTTGTGTGTTCATTTCGCCAGCTAGTTCGTCTCAGCATCGTTCAGTGTGTGTGACTCTTCTTCTCGTCTGTGACCTTCGGTTTCCAGCGCCGACGCACTGTTTGCAGCATGGATTTGCAATTGACATGTATTCGCAATTGCAGCCGTGTTAGCCAAGAGGGACCCCACCCACGTGGTTGCTATGGCTAGTAGTTTTACAGGTGTCGCGCCACTTCACGAGCACGAAATCAGCATCATGCGCAGTTTCATCAGGACGTGGCCAATGTGAATCGATGGATCGCGAAGGTTAAAGCCATGCGAGTCCGAGCACGAGCGCAGGTAGTGCATCACGTTATTATCCAGAGGGCGCGCTGCCTCATAATGTCGAGGTAAGCCTTTTGTAAGTATTTCACTCGGGGCTTCAGTGTATAAGCATAAACGTTGTGTTGTAATGGTCGATGCTAGTTTGACGCGGGTGTATCTGCAATGTGGTGTTATGGCCCCAGCGCGGCAAGTGAATCTGTGGTCTTGGGGAGAGGAAATACTGAGGACTGGGATGTGCGTATCACGGTGGAGTAGACAAGATGCGTGCATGATGTATTTGCAAGAGCTCGTGGGGAAGATACGGCCACACTTGTGCACGCATACTCTGCATGAAACGGCAGTTCAGAAGCAAACATAGCGTCACAGAGTTTGAACAGGCATCTATATGTTTCGGTAGAGGCAAGATGATTACTCCAAGGCGAGATGTAGGGTGCATTGCGGTCTCAGGCATGACACATTGCTTCGCCCCAGTGCACCACCACCTCGATGCCGAAGAGAAGATCGCAGCGGCTCGCTCAGCCGGGCATTCTCGCAGAGGGGTCGTCGGCGTATGTCTCGCCACTTCCGTGGGCGAGGGGTGGTGGGTGAGGCTAAGAGGCGTGTGCCGTGAATTCTGCGCATGTAAGTATGATCGGTATGTGTATGTATTGTTCGATGTGTGGTCTCATCCTCTTGGTCAGCTTGCCCGTCTGTGGCCGCCTGGGCTTATGCCACGCTCAAGTGCATATAATTGGGGCGGCCCATGTCCTCTGCGTTGTTTTTCGCGCGCCTCGCTGCCGGCGGAGCCCAACTGCTGCCAGACTTCAGCTGGCTCTCCTCGCAGGCGGGCGCGTGCCTGGTGGCGGCGCAGTTCGCGGGCTCGCTGCGGTTCGCTTTCGGGCTGATCTTCGTGGTGGGCGTCTTCGTCGGCTACGGTATCCATGGCTGCTGCCGCTGCTGCTGGGGCCGTGGACGGGGAGCTGGAGCTCACGAGCGGCCAGCGCGTGCTCGTGCAATGGCGCGCCAACGAGCCTTGGCAGGCTCGAGTGCTGATAGCTCCTCTGACGACGACGGAGTACAATGACTACGCTGGCGAGGAAGCGCCCGAGGGCGCCGAGGAGAAGTGCCTGATCTGGTAGCTATCACCCCCGACGGGGACGTCTACCCCCATTGCCTGCTGCCTCCCGCTCTGACGGGGATGGTGCCCTGCGACGCGAGGGGCCAGCCCAACCGAGCTTTGGGGCTGGGCGCTCGGCTGCCCCGCGGCAATCCCCATGTGTACGGCCGCCAGTGGGAGCTGACCGCGAGGGACTACTTGGGCGCGCGGGCGAGGACTTCGGCGTCAGCATTCGGGAGCCGTGCCAGGGGTTTGGGAGGCCAGCGGGTCGAGGACCGCGTTTGGCTTCTCGGACTCCGAATTACTTTGTGGAGGTGACTTCTGGGCTGCCCGACCCGTCGCCCGACAAGTGGGTGCAGGTCGGCGCCTCCGACGGGGCGGGCCGTGCCGTGGTTCAGGGCCTGGCGGTGGACTACGGCCTGGTCTGCTCGGGTCTCGCCCTGTGCAAGACGGGCGAGCAGACCTTCATCGCGAAGACCTCCAGCGGCGATGGCCCAGACCAGGATGCACGGGTACTGGCTGTCGTGGAGGACGTGGGCGGAGGCCGTTACCTTCCTTTCCGTGAGGCTACGTGCCAGAAGTGGCCCTTGCAGGGACCACGCACGGCTTTCTGGCGCGCGAAGTTCATCAGCGTGCAGGACATCGCGCCTCGCTCGCGTCATGCAAAGTGGCGGTCGGACGTGAATCTTACCTCGGCCGACCCCGCGGTGGCCGAACATGAGCTCTGCATAAGAGTGGTGCAGCTTGCTGTTCAATATGGTAAATTAATAAATGTATCCGAGGGCTGAGGGGTCGCATTTTGGGATCGCGAGGGGGAGCTGCGCTGGGCGGAGACGCCGATGAGGACGAATGTCGTTACCTTGGAACGTCAGAAACCAGAGACATGCTCATGATAGCACCGTCGCTGGCACGCTCATGATAGCGCCGTCATTGATTTCTCACATTTCTGAGGAAGTGCACAACGAGGCTACCATTTTGGAGGAACGCCGCAAGATTCGTGAATAACGACAGTCCAATCGTGCTCGGGAAGCTCCAGGAGGGGGCGCTGGCCGCGGAGGCCTCGCAGCCGAAGTGCAGAGCGAGATCGACCGCCTGACCACGGAGGACATGAAGCTGAAGGGGCAGGCCGCAGGCCATGCGTCCTCCCCAGGAGCAAAGGGAGAGGGCCGAGGCCAGGGGCTTAAAGCAGGAGCATGACGGAAAGGGGGTGCGCCCCCTTTGGTTCGCTCCGCGCCGCCGCGGGTGGGCTGCCGAGGGGCGCCTGTTCCTCGTGAGCTGCTCCCAGCACCTGTGCATTTACTCTCTTCCCAGGCCTCTACATGGTCATTCTCTTCGACCCGACATCGGCGGTTGAAGGGGCGACAGAGCTACTTCTGCGTCCTCTGGGTGCAGGAGGCGGCCGCCGCGGTCAACTGGCTCTACGGCCAAGGTGGCGCGAGCACGTTTGGTGCCCTTTCTCAAGCCCATCGCGCTGGGCTGGAGCATTTTCAATATCGAATTCGTGGGATTGGGCCTCCTGCGTGCACCTCTGCGGCGGCCCTCTGGGAGCTGTGCAGTATTTCTCCAGGCAACGGCGCCTCGCCAGGTGAAGTCAGTGATGTACGCCGAGGGTCTGGTGTCATGAAGCCCCTTTTGGAGCCCCCCCTGGCCCAAAGTACCATTGTGTCTCCGTGCCGACTTCAACCTGGGCCCCCCCCCATCAGGACTGTCTCATTCTTGCCTTCAATTGCAGCTTGCGCCCGGTCCAGGCGCTGCCGAGCAACGATAGCCAGGTAAATGTGCATCAGCAGTGCTGTCCCGCCTCCGCCTCCCCGCACGTTCGTCTCGGCTCTCGTCTTTCGGAGGCTGTGGCGGGATGGATTCGCAGTAGTGCCGAGCAGATCACTGACTCTCACCTGCTCAGGCTGATCAACTCTTAACAGGTGGGGAGTTAGGCTTGCAAAGGACGGCCAGTGCTCCCTTATGGAAGTTTCGGGAGTTGTGCGTGGAGCTTGGGCTCCGTGGAAGCAGCGTTGCCTGCGCGACATCGTGAAAAAGAGACAGGCTCTCGGATGGGGCTTGTTGCATGTGTGCCCTGGCCACTACGCAGGGCCCTGACCTTGTTCGATGTGTGGTCTCATCCTCTTGGTCAGCTTGCCCGTCAGTGGCCGCCTGGGCTCGTGCCACGCTCGAGTGCACCCGCCCACAGGCCACCCGTGCACTTGGTCTTCTCCAAGAGGTTGGTCAACGGGAATTGCGAGGCATGGGCTCCGTGGAAGCAGCGTGGCCTGCCCGACATCGTGATAAGGAGACAGACTCTCGGATGTAGCTTGTTGCGTGCGTGCCCTGGCCACTACGCAGGGCCCTGGCCTACATATATATATATATATATATATATACTTGTTGGGAACATCGGAGGTTGGTGGGCGTGAGCGGAATTGGCCCCAGCCCGGACATCGGTTTCGCTTTCGTTTTGTGTCGTGCGTGCGTGCGGGCCAGGCGAGACTGCGCGATTTTCTGCATTGTTAGATGCGCCACGTGAAGCCCAACGGGCCGCCCATCATCCGGGCGGGCGCGTGTCCCGTGGTTGTTTCGCGGTTGTCCTACGGTTGTCTCGCGGTTGTCCCGTGGTTGTCCCGTGGTTTTCCCGATGGTTGTTTCGCGGTTGCCCCGTGGTTGCCCCGATGGTTGTCCCGATAATTGTTCCGATTGTTGTCCCCGTGGTTTTCCCCATGGTTGTCGCGGTGGTTGTCCCGATGGTCGTCCCGATGGATAGTCGTTATCCCTGTGTTTGTCCCGATGGTGGTCCCGATGGTTGTCCCGATTGTTGACTCGATGGTTGTTCCGAGGGGCGCCCCGATGGGCGCCCCAGTTGGCACCCCGAAGGGCGTCCCAGATTTATGGGTACACGCGCAGAATTCGCCCCATTACCACCACCACCACCACCACCGTTCCGAAAACATTTGTACTCAAACCGCTTCGC